TCCTGATCTGAAGACACTACCAATATAACGTATCAGTAGTATGAACAACTAGAACATCTGGAATGGTGATTTAATGTTAAAGACAATAAGTTTTAAACTGCTCCAGGTTCATTATCTCAGTGGGCCAATTAGAGTTCTGGACAAGGATGGCATTCCAGCAAAGCCTGGTGATCTTCTGGCAGTTGAGATATGCAACCTGGGTCCTCTCCCAGGAGATGAATGGGGTTTCACAGCAACATTTGACAGAGAAAATGGAGGGGGTTTTCTCACTGACCATTTTCCTTGTGCAACCAAAGCTATTTGGTACTTTGAAGGGATATATGCGTACTCACCTCAAATACCAGGTGAATTATCAACCATTTCCTTTTCTTGTGACAGTAATGTTAAGAAAAGATTCATAAAGGTACTCCCCTCCAAGCTTTTAACTAAGCCTATAAAATAAGCACAAAGTAGGGCTATAATTTTTGCTACTGACATAATTTTATATGCATGGCAGGAGTGAGATTCCCAGGCTTAACCCACCCCGGAATAGTTGGAACAGCACCATCGATGGAACTCTTGAATATATGGAATGAAAGGGAGAGAGAACTTGAAGAAAATGGACTCAACTCTATGAAACTATGTGAGGTTTTGCATCAACGACCATTGGCTAACCTACCATCAACAAAAGGTTGCGTCCTCGGAGGGGTATGCTAAATTGAAAACTTGTTAGGGAAACAAAATAATGATGAAAAACCTTGCAACAGGACTAAATTTCCATAATAGCTTTGCTGCATACAAAAAGAACTGTAAAATTCTGCAGCCTACTGCACAGAGATACAAAAGTCATGATGTTCAACTTCTATCCCTGAAATCTAATTATACTAACATGTCGTGGTCATACATAGATCAAAGAGGGCACTCCTGAATGGGAAAAGATCGCCTTGGAGGCTGCAAGAACAATTCCAGGAAGAGAAAATGGTGGCAATTGTGACATTAAAAATCTTAGTCGCGGTTCAAAGATATACCTTCCAGTATTCATTGAAGGAGCAAATCTTAGCACTGGTGACATGCACTTTTCCCAGGGCGACGGTGAAATTTCATTCTGTGGAGCAATTGAGATGAGTGGTTTCCTGGAGCTCAAGTAAAAATTTCACACCTCATCTCTTAACATTTCTGTAACCAAACTAGAGGCTTTGTTGAGCAAAGACTGGAGCTGGTTAAAACTAAACTTTCTACTTATGCCGCGCCGGTGTACACGCGTGCGCACACACACACACACGTGCACACACACACATATAAATATATATAATATAATTAACAGTTTATCCTATATAATCCCGTTATTAGGTGTGAAATTATAAGGGATGGAATGAAAGAATACCTTACACCAATGGGGCCCACTCCTCTTCATGTGAACCCAATCTTTGAGATAGGCCCTGTCGAGCCAAGATTTTCAGAATGGTTGGTGTTTGAAGGCATCAGTGTTGATGAGAGTGGGAAGCAGCATTACCTAGATGCAACTGTTGCTTACAAGCGTGCAGTACTGAATGCTATTGACTACCTCTCGAAATTTGGATACTCCAAAGAGCAGGTTTTTTATCTCTCTCCATACCACATACAATAACATGCCGTGCATGCTATTGTAGTCTTCATTACTGATCTAGGACCTGTCATGTATCAGAGCTACCTTCTGTTGTCATGCTGCCCATGTGAGGGAAGAATTTCTGGAATAGTGGACTCTCCCAATGCCATGGCAACCTTAGCAATCCCAACAGCTATCTTTGACCAGGTATCTATTTCTGGCCAACCCACTAACAATAATATATTACCTTTATAGTACTTTACCATCTACAAATGATTCCAGTTATACTAGGTTGCTTTTTAAACTGCCTAGTCAGATTACTGAAATTTGAATAGCTACATATCTATATGCTTAATGCCATAGATTACATTCTATTCATAGATACAAATGTAAATAAGAGTCTTCTCTCCTAATTTGTTTCACAATAATTACATGATTCAAGAAGCAAAAATGAGCTCTTACAGGCACAACAAAAGTATCACAATTCACAACGTATAAGAACTCAATTATACAGTAAACTTCCATTTTACTTGTAACTTAGATGATCCCTCAAGGTATAAGCTATTGATAGACCTTTGAAATTGATCAAAAACTTTTTCATGCATAAGGAGAGTCAATATTCTTTCCTGTTACAAAACTCACAAGAAATTACTCTAGTGAACAGTAATGATTGTCATAAAGCCTGCTGATATGTTCAAATCATTTTCTCTACAAATGACAAACGTACATATGCACAGGATATACGTCCAAGAGCAAACAAGGTGCCAGTTGGGCCTCGGATAGTGAGGAAACCAGATGTCCTGAAATGTACTTATGATGGAAATTTGGCAACTACAAGGAACCCTAGCTCAGCAACATAACTATTGTCAAGAGTGCTCAGTAAATAAAAGCAGACACTTCGCCTGTATCTTCCATGCCTACCAAGTCATGCATGTACTGGGATATACAGAAAGTAGAACTGAATTGTCAAAGTAAACCATCCAAATTCTATATAAGCAACACAAACACATTGCACACAGGGGAAAAGATCTTGAATAAATCATGCAGAAAAATTCAACACTATTTAGCCTATCACTTCATGAATAAACCATGCTCTTAGCCATTTTGTCATCACTCCGATGTCAACCAAGCTGCTAATTCTAAGTTCTAATCAGCTGAGTCCACTTACACATTGACTTATATTGGCAATAATTTTTGCAAGCCTGCATCTTATGGTTGATTTTCACTATTCATCTTCTAAAGAGCCTATATATAACAAGTTTATGAATGCTTCTGTGTGTATTGAAACCTTATTGCATTTCATATATATTGCATCTCATATCTAAAATTGGCTACCTTAACAAACTTGCAGGTTGTCAACACAGAACTAACATTCTAAGGATAGATCAGATCCATGATATAATTTTATATGGATGGTAGGCTTTACAGAATATAAACCAAGCTGAGGACCAAACACCTGCAGGAGTTGTGTTCGCACTCACATGATGTGAGATTCAGTGGATTTATAACACAATATAAACAAAAAGCATGCATCAAATTGAACTAGTCAACACCTGCTGCCACATTCATCAAATTTTATATGTTCACTAAAATCAGAATAAAAAGTGACACATAAGGTAAATCACTTAGTTACTATAACATTATAAATTGATATTCATTAGTTCAACAGTAAAATTAGTTGGAATGTGCAAAAAGCCACAACACTTCTAAACGAAAACAGGATGTCAGAAATTGTATATCAAGCTCATCCAAAGACTTTAACTTGAAACTTCAAATCCAAAATCTTTCCTTTATCCGAGTAACAAATATATAGCAAAGGGGTACGATAGAATATGGTGCACTTAATAATATATAGAGAGTGTCCTATGGTGTTGCAGAGTAGGACACTGAATGCCAAAAGACCAAAGCCAAAGGTCTAACTCAATACTCAGCACCTGAAAAAGAAACCCCACAAGTAGAACAATCATATTAGGAAAAAGGGACTGAGTAGTGATGGTAGAGAAAAGGAAAATGAAAATCTACAGATTCAAGAAGATACATGTTTAACCTAGTTTCAAATGCAGAGGAACAAATTGGCCTAAACACAATTCACTTTGGTGGGAACAAAACTGATGCAGGACACTTACAGATAAAATAAATAATCTGAAGGTTTTATTACATAAATGTAGCCATGAGAAGAATCTAAAATTCATAAATAAAACATAACACACTAGGACCACAACAGAAAATAAGCTAATTGGAACTGCTCCAGGCAATAGTCTTTAATCGTACCTGCTTCCCTGATTTCATGCTGATCAACTCCTTCATTTTCTCCACAGCATATATGGAGCAAGCCCGTAGTTCAACTTCCTCCTCACTCCCTGCATCTATTTGACTATTAGCCTCAATCGTGCTGGCAAGGGTTGCACTATATTTCAGTACACCAAGCTGCCGAAGCACAGCTGGAACAATATAATCCGCCATAATAGTAATTGAGCCAATGTCATAAAATTCTCCATATCCTTGGCCACCAAATGCACCCCATAAATCTGCTGCAAATATCTGCGCTCTTTTATACAAGAATACTTGGTGGCCTTTGTATACTGAGTGGTCTCGGAAACCTAGAAAGTTTAACTAATGACAGTCAATATGCTTGTTTCCTGGGGAATAACCCCTACAAACCGTGCAGCCATAAAAAAAATATTTTCAACCCTAAAATATACCAGGAAAGTGACGAGTAACAAGAGCTACAAGCTTAACAGCTGATTTTCCACAGGACTCCACAAGATTGGATGCCTTGCCATCAAAGCTTCTCTCCAGCTCAAACCCAACCTAGGCCACAAAAGTTAACATTTTGGATATTAGGTTAGGTCAAATCATTAGTTTCAGAACCAGACTAATCAAGAAATCAAACAACAAAAGACTTGAAGAATAAAAACTTCTATAAATGTAAAGGTAAATTTCACCTCATGCAACAAACGAACTCTCTCATCCTCCAGAGGTAGTGGCCTAGGCCATTTCAACAGCTCCCGTAGTTCAGGACCTTATAACAGAAACGATTTCAATCAAATTACTATTCAGCAGAAGAGCGTTACAAAGTCAAAATGTAGGATTTAAAAGTGCCAAAACATGTTTAGAAGAGCCCAATCCTCGTCCATAAATTTGAATTTTTACAGAGTCAAGAGTCTACCTATTATTTGATATCTCTGTCTTATTATTAATAATCGTTTTTCTTCTACCAGGGACCCCAAAGTAAACTTGATATATATCCCAATTTGTGTGCACCTCACATTGGATGTGAAATAACATCTGTATGGACATAAGAGATATGTGTTCAAGAAAATAAGTACCAGTGTACTTCTGAAGACGATCCACATCAAACACAGATTTGTCATTTAGTAGAGCTGCCTTTAGACCTGCAGCCAAATTGTCGTAATTTAAGTCCTTATCTGTCAAGAAAAAGTAAATAAAGAAAGAGTCAGCACAGAAATTTAATAGATCAAACTACAAATATTTGTACAAAGATATGAATAAAATGAATCTATAACTCGCCCAAACTTTCATACTACCTCTTGATGTTTGGAAACATTTTCCCTCTATTATAGTTTTTTTTGCAGCCTTGAGGATCCATCTTCTTCATTTTTACATTCTTAATTCTAGTGCTTAAAGTAAACCGAAATTTTTGTTTGCTTACAAGCATGGGTACTTTCAGTTCAATATGATAAACACAAGTCATGTGTAAGCTATTTAAGCCAATGAACAATCAGCTGCTTGTTTTCAATGCATTTAGTATTTGCTGAAAGGGATATAAAGTTATTCGATATATGATCTTTTTCTTCAACTGCATACACTGTCAGCAACTAAAATATGGTTCCATAAGTAACTATATGAAACTGCACAACAAAGAACTCACACGGGGATGGATACACACATTGAAGTATTACTTTAACATGAAAAGACTTCAAATCTTTATAAACGGGCAGCACGGGAAATTAAAATACTCTTTTGTACAATGAAACAAAAGCACAGACAACTTAAGTTCTTAGTTGTAACACAATGGCCAACGGCTTGGCTCAGTCATAAAACAAAATTTGGAAAGGTGGAAAAGCATAAATACCTCTACAATTTATGCTTTGATATGACTACCTCTACATTTTGTTCAGAATTGAACCCACTATTGTAGGCCATTATACTTGACTTAATCATAATTTCTTAAACCAACAAGCAACAAAGTAAAAGTAGTAAACTTGACAAGGAATTAGACTAGCATGTTCAAAAAATGAAAAAAAAAAAGCAAAGAAACCCATAGTTTAATTCAGTCTCATTGGCATCCATAATTAGAATAGAATGATATATGAGACGTGGTTGGTACCACCTACCAGGCCAAAAGCAAAAATTCAAAGCATCCAACACAAACAGGTACTGAACGGTGAGAGGCCCATTGTCAAAATAGTGAATTCCTTCGAAATCCCAATTCACCTTCGGGATTGTGTCTATAGTCTCCGCCACTTTCTCAATCCCTTCACCCCCAAAAAAATTATATTAAAAAAACGGTAAATTAAATGAGAAAGTGCACCAAAGCTAAGAAGCATAAAATGGGACATGCATTAGCTCAGCTGAACAGAGACAGAGTGTGGAGAGACCTGAGGAGTCGACGACGACATGAGAAGAATGGCTTGCGACCCAAGCCGAGCTAGCCCTGACATCGTCCATGGCCGCAACTCAGTGAGTCAATAAGTCTGCTAGTGCCTGTCTGAGTTGAAACCCTAGGAATTTGGATTGCTTTATATATGCGCCGCCAGAGAGAGAGAGAGAGAGAGAGAGAGGGGGGGGTGGCTGTGGTGTGGGACTTGTGCTGGTTTTTCCTTGTTCGAAGTTTCCCGCTTTCGTTGGGGGGGCGCCTTTTCGTGCTCCTCAACAGGATAATAACAAATTAATTATAATAAATATATAAATAATAATAATGCCTTTTTTGTATTGGTGGATTTAGTAATTTTATATTTTTTTTCCCATTTTAGTTCTCTCTGACCCTGGTTCTGAAATTCCATTCTGGGCCACAGACTTTTCCACGTATAGCCAGAGACCAACTCACGTGTGAAACACCCTACAGGCTATAGGTAGGCAGCGAGACTTTGTGCACGTTTTTCATCTCTCTTTGGGTTGGTTTGGTTCAAAAAATTTATTAAATAAATAAATTCAGTGTGTTGTGCCTTTTCTGGTCAAATTCATGAATAACTGAACTGACCACTCTCTATCGACTGACCCAGGATCGGGACTTGGAATGGAGAGAGTATTGTATCGTCCAATTGTGGGGGGCCGGCTTGTCTTTGTATTGTGGTCCAATTAAGGGCCCCATTTGTTATGGTCCAAGTATGGTCTGCTCGGAATTAGGTCGAACGAGGAATAAATTTGGTCTCATGGGGATGGGTTCGCTTAAATACGGGGTTATTACTTACTTATTATGAAGGCTTATTTACTGTAGTACTCCCTGAAATTTCGGTCAAATCTCACTTTACCCCTCCAAAGTTAAAATGGCCCACATAACCTCTTTGATCGTGATTGTGTGTTCCACTTTACCCCCCATCGTTAATATTATCCAAAAAACCGTCAAAAATGCTGACGTGGTTATTTGGTGAGCATAGTTAGCATCTTATGTGGCAAAGTGGACCCCATATACTTCTAAAATTGAAATTAATAAAAATTCTTTATTTTTAAGTAGAGCCCATATGTCCAATGACATTGTGCCACGTAGATTTGAATAAATAAATAAAAATTAAAAATCTGCAACTTCCACCCTTCCCCCTCCATCTCTCTTTGTTCTCACTCCCTCCCTTTGGTCTCTTTCTCATCTAAGAAGGTCTTCGAGTCCAAACCGATTGGAGAGCAAATGGATAGGCGGGTTGAACCCACATACCATATGTCACTATTCCTTCGTCTCTCCCAACCACTAAAACCCTTTCGTTTTCTCATAATATTTCATCTAAAGCTTCAATCTTTTGTGGGTAAATGAGAGGTTGGACCAAAAGATCAGAATGAAGCTCTTGCCCAGCAAAAATGGAAGATCAGTACCCCAATTAGAA